TCCACCTATGAGATGCACGTAGGGTCACCCCAGGCTGGCGGGCCAGATCCTTAGCAGTTAGCAGCTGCGGGATGGCGAGGCCTCTTATTAAAGTAGACATCATTCATCTTTGCATGCGTCGTACGAACCCACTTTCCTCAAGTGGTAAGAACCCAGCACTGGAACGATGGGGCCTCATCTAAGTAGACCCATGACTCCTCTCTGTGGGTCTTAAACACCCAGTCACCAAATGGGTCTTATACACCCAGTCACCAAAATGACTGTTAAACCACCAGCACCCCAGGGGGTCTTACGCCCCCTCCGACGCAAATGCATATGGACCCGCGTCGTGCACCGATTCAGCATCCGCAACGTTACCGCCTAAAAATGCGGTAGGTACTGGTGGTTTAAGGAACAACTACCTTAACACATCTGTAACTATACCCAACCATACCCGCCGAAGGGTTTGAATACAAAAAATGAGGACTACCTAATCAGTTAGTATACCTGATAGCCGTGTGACCAGGTTTGTGCTAGTCGACAGAGAAAGGGGGCGAAAAACAAAAAACGAAATAAATTCAAATAATCCAAGATGCCTTTTCTAAGTCCTGCAAGTTCACCACCTCAAAAACATATATCTGTAAATCAGAGCGCGAAGGCGGGAAAAAAGCAAAACAAGGAAAGGAAAAGAAGGAAGGAAGGAAAGCCCCACCTGTTCATCACCTCTTACGTACAAGGCCAGCCACGTGGATGACAGGTTGAGTGCTGGCTGCCCCCATCCCCGTGTGTCACAAGGACCCACTTGCACGCAGCCAAAAGGCAAAGAGGTAAAGAAAAGGAGGACGAAACCAAACCTGACAGAGAAAGAAAGATAATCCAATTGTCACAAAGCAAATAACACATCCCACAGATCAACATATCTTTTCTTTTTTCTTTTCTTCTTTTCTTCTTTTTTTCTTTTTTTCTCTTTTTTTCTTTTTTTCTCTTTTTCTTTTCTTCTTTTTTTTCTTTACCTGTCCCCACCTCCGCAGACAGGACAGCTACGGTGAGGATGATGTGGATGTTCACAAGGATGCCCAAGGAGAGCTGCGCCAGCACAGCATTCAGCAGGACGGCTAGCACGAACCATCCCATCAAAACAGTCCTGACAGAGGACGTTGTCCACATGTCAAAAAAACAGCAGGACGTTCATCACAGTGCGGCATCATACAGTTCTGATAGCGTCCTTGGGCACAAAAGGGACAACGTATATCTGGGTGATAGGGATGTGTACAATGAGGAAATGTTGGACACCCTTCAGAACAGACGGCGGCAGTCGCAATAGATTGATAATGGCTATGGCATAGATGATGCATTCCACAGCCAAGGCGC